GCGGAAGGGGGTAGAAAACATAATCATTATAATTATAGCTGTTTATTAGTAAAACGTTTTCACTGGCAGATAAGATTTTATTTAACGAAATTTAACTTATCATGTCCCTTATAAACAGAAAATTCATTTTAAACTTTAATATACCGTCTGGATTTGATATGCATAAGCAGTACGTATTTATCGGCATCTGAAACAATAAAGCAACGAACAATTTGTAGTATTTTTCCACTAGACAAACAATGCTACACAAGAAAAACAATGGTACAAATTATTAACAAAATATATATATATATATATATTTTTTTTTTCAGCGCATTTTCAATTTAATACAACAAACAGTACATACGTTACATTCAAAACTTCTTATTCTTCAATTTTTATTATTTGAATCATTTTAAAAACATACTAATACTATTAAAATTAATTTCAATCGATTACATTGATTTAATGTGGGCAATTCAAAAGGTAGAAATTATAAACTAAATTTACAGCAAGAAAAAATCCGATAAAATTATATCTCATATTTGCTTTATATAATAGTTTAATTATACTATATTACCATATAATAAACAACAATAATAACAGAAATAATAATAAATAATATACAATAAATAATAATAATATAAAATATAATATTAGACAAATTATGGAAAAATAAAAAAAGCTTCTTAATTTTGTATCTATTTATTTATTTGTATTTTAAGAGACTTTATATGAGAGATATTTTATTTTTTTTTAAGATTTTTACCAAAAAAAAATGTTCAAGATTTAACTGATCACACTTTGAACTATATATGAACTATAAATATATTTATTTATTAGAACATTGCGCATATTGAAGATCTTGGAATAATTCATAAAAAAAAAAATTTGATTAATTATCATTGAATGAAAAAATCAATTTTACAAAGTAATAATGCAACAGTAATTATTATATATATTTTTATATTACAGAAATAAAACCATTTGAATTTTATATATATATATATATATATATATATATATATATATATATATATATTATCTTATACAGTAAAGTAATGTACATTGTACGTGAATATAATATTGATTTATAAATTAATTAACCGACTAATTAGTTAGTGCTATTCATATTTTACAATAGTGATGAATCTCGAATGGTAAATTTGCAATATTAAACGTAAGCAGAATCTAAAGGTCATTATTCATTATTGCATTGTGTAATTGTGAATTGTAATTGCAATATATATGATAAAGCAGAGTCTAATTATCAACTAGAATTTAATTTGTCAGCCTTTAAACTATTCCACTTGTGTATATTTACGAATTTTTTGGCTATAATTTTCGGGTTTACGGATCAATGAGCTGCCTTGCCTCTGCGCGTAAGGTGATTGTGTACGTTACGTGAGTCGAGTGACATTTACAATCATAACTGGAAGTCCTTTGTATTAGTCTGCTAGGATGTAAAAGTAAAATACGTTATAAATTGTAGCAATTAGAGTTTACATGCTAAACTGCTTAGGCAATCTTAAACCGCAAACTGTACGGCATTAGATTTTTTATCCGTCTAATCCGTATATTTAAACCAATTCCGCTCCAATCTAAAAAGTTAAAAAAAAAAAAATCAGTTGCAAATTTAGTATTCCGATGATAGATTTAAGAATTATCTAATGATAATTGCAATGTCATATATAGCACAAACATAGGGAAAAATATGGATAGACATAGGACATTGTAAAAATTTGATGAATATAAGAACTTTTTGTTTAATTAAGTGAATTACTTGATAAGTCTACTTCATCCAGTAGTATTTTTATTTCATGATATCAGTAATAATAAATAATGGCAATGCACAAGGGCTTAATGTTAATTTAGATAAACAATTTATTTCATATTTTTTATATCTCGTCAAGTGTACATATTGTTACTTTACACTAGTTTCTTATTAAGTCTATTTTTTATTTTCTTCCTCTTTTTTTTTTTTTTTTTTTTTTTTTTTTTTTTTTTTTTTGTTTTGTTTTTGGTATTATAAAACATTAACAGTCGATTATTACATTTCTTGTGAAAGCATAAAATAAATATAAATTGATAAGAATAATTAATTAATTGAATGTTGACTTTAAAGCGAAGATAATGGTCTATTATATCTTTGATATAATGCTAAGTTAATTTTCTCTAAAAAAGCATATGTATGTTTTGCTGTAGTACGACATATCGAATAGAAAATATTATTTTTTGAAAGGCAAATTAAAGCTGACAATGAAAGAATCTCCAGAGAATTTTAAACGCATTATAAACGAGAAGCAACTTCATTTTCTTACAAAATACGCGGATCAAAGCACAATCGATGCTTTCTACTTTATACTTTTACTAATGCATAAGTGTTTTTATGTACGCCCGTGCCTCTTCGTTTCTATATTAAAGGACAATCTTTGAAGACTTTATTCATTATGAATAGAAATCTTCGTAAATTATATTGCAATGCTATATTCTCTATAAATAAACGATATACTGCGTAAGTGTGTAAGTGACAAAAATTTCACAATAAATTTGAATGTAATAAATAAAACCCAATAAATATAAAGAAATTGACGAAATGTTAAATCTAAGCCAGTTTTATTATATCTATTATATTTAAAATCATATCTATGAATTCCATATTAATCATTACCGTCTCACAAATACAATGTAAAACAACCACGGTGTCTACGGAATATCACATACGTCGGAGCCATAAGTTGCTAAAGTATTTTGTCGAGTGTACATCCATCAATCACTGAGCGCAATCGATTGTCGCAAACGCTCTCGCGAGAGCCTCGTTGCAATGCAAAGCGCAATAATAATAATAATAATAATAATAATAATAATAATAATAATCATTGGACAACGTCTTACGGAATACCAATGGATAAATAATGTAAATAATGGGGGAATATGGCAATTGAGCGAAAGGAATCAGTACAACTGGACGAAATGCACGCGGTTGTCCTTGTGTTGGTACCTCACGTGCTTCCCGACATCGTTCTGCCACTTGGATTTATATTTACAATAAGGACAATTGAAGCGTGGCTCCTGCCCACACTCGCGCTTCAAGTGTCGCCTGAGCGACGATTTCTGGGCAAATCCACTCGGGCAAAATGGACAGGGAAAGTTCTTCTGGTGCCAGGTTCTCTTGCGCTTTTCGGCCAAGGTCCGACGTATTTTCTCGGACCTCGTGACCGTCGTCTTTTGCGGTGGCGGAAACTTATCGATGCAAGACTCCATTATGCCGTTCGACCCTATCGTCGCGTCCATCGTATAATCCACGGGATACACGGCGATGATCTCGTATATTGGCTCCTCCTTTATATCCATGCATGCATCGATCCACGCGATATCTGATATCGGTCGCAGCGGATCTTTAACCTCCAGATACTCTAAAAACAAATGTCATTATGTAGGGGAAGGAAGATTTTACATTGGGTGGGCAGGTAATGTCCGCACTTTTTAAGAATACTCATGCACGTTAGAAATTCTTTTTGTCCAGTCGAGTCGTTGAATTTAGCGTGAAACTGTCATTAAGGAAGCGCACCTTTTAAATGTGAAATAATGTCGTCCGATATGGAAGCTGGCCACTACGAATATATATCCTGATCATAAGGATAATTGGTCATTCCAATTTTTTTACTCGCAGCAGCAACAACAACAACAACAGCAGCAGCGGCGGCGAAGCAATTTCTTAATTAACTAAGGAATTATTTCTATTTATGGATCATTTCCTGTTATTCTCCATTACTTATGCTAAATTAATGTTTACTTCGCTCTCACTCATTGAAATACAAAATATTATCGGCTAAAATATTAATATAATTCAAGTTATAATTTTTAAAGCTGGATGTGAAGTGTTTATTATAATAGAATGGGAGGAACTATAAACGGAATATTACAAAAACTTTTTCTTGTACTAGCCACTAGGATTACTACTTATTAGTTTTACGATTTGCTGCGGAGCCATTATTTGAGAAGAAAATTAGAGGAGATAGAAGTGAGAAAAGAAAATTAGATGAGATAGAAGTACGTAGGTCTTGTTCACGAGGAAAAAATATTCTTATGCTTTTTATAATTATTAGCTGCATGATTTATGTTATATATATATATATATATATATATATATATATATATATCTAATTGGAGTGAGTGCGTCTATATGCATTTACATCTGTGTATTTATATATGTACATTGAAACTATACACAATGATATGAAATTTGTCAACTATCCGTAGAAAATAATTTCAATAAATCTCAAAATCAGATTGTAATATTGTAAACTTATCGTTAAATTTATTTAATTATAATTACACCGTTTATTCAAAATATTATATCTTTATTATGACTAGTCCTAGATTAGGTAAAATATAAATTATGGTTCCTTACATAAAATTCAGGAAATTTACCTGCACACTAAGTATAATAATGATGCGTTCGATTAATTTTTATAAAAACAAAAAAACAAAAAACAAAAAACAATTTAAATATTAAATATTTTTATTTTTCTTTTACCATTTCCACCTATTTTAATATTTATAGATATACTTATAATATTATATTCTTATATACTATATAGTATATAATAATATATATATATATATATATATATATATATATATATATATATTCTTATGCTAATATTAATACAATAAATATCTTTTCATTCCAGGCATAAAATTTCTTAATTAATACACATATTATTAGTTATTATGCAATTCTAGTTTTGTCACACAGTTATATGTAACCGTTTAAACAATTGTAAAAAAAAAAAAAAAAAAAAAAAACCAAAAAAATAAAAGAATGTTATATTACGAGTAAATATCATCTCACTACTTAAACAAAATTGCAATATCACATTATTTACCCTGAATTTTGTAAAATGCTTTTGTTGAATTACGTGTAATAAAGTCGATTATACGCATGCCTGAGGACATGAAAAGTTTATTAGTCTTTCAACAAGCAATTCGTTATTGTACGCATACACGTATCCCAATAATAGAAGTTTTTAGTCTTTTTTTTTTTTATTGGTATGGAACATTGATGTATGTATATTAATGTTTTTTAATGCCTCGTACCTAATTATATTGGATTAAAAAAAATGTTTTTTCTTTTTTCTTTTTAAATATGAATATCGTCATCGTTCGTGTAATTTAATGAATTTCAAGCATGGATATTAATCTACGGATAATTTAAAAGTTTTCATTTAATGAACTATCGAAATGAATAATTTCAATATATTTTCTAAGCTAGTATAAATACTAAAGTTTATTATTTATAATATTGCATCTGTAACAAAATGGTGAGTTATGGTAGAAAATATGAAAATGTTGAAAATTTTGACAAACATAAGAAATATCACAAGTTTCACAAAATAATATGCATGCTAAATACAGTACAAGTATTTGGCAAATTCCTATATTATCGTAATAATTATTAAATATAATCATCATTATGTCAATTTCAAGTAAAATTGATTGACTCATTCTTTCCAAGTGAAATATCTTCGATAATCATAGCATACGAAATTGTTAATACATGTATTTAAATTTTCAAATTAAATTAATGTTTGCAGTAAAGCTAAGATTATTTATTATGCATTTAAATGCTGATTTGATCAAATGTTTAAAATCGATATTTATGTATAATAGAGAATATTGACCGATAGAGAAAATTAATACAGCTTTGTTATTGTTCGAGAAATAAGACTTTTCACATCATGCGCGCGTAAAGACTCTCAATGTTAAATAAAAATGTATCACAGAAGAAGGTTATACATTTCCTAAACGAAAGTTGTATGCCAATATAATAAATATCGTATATGCATTTGAAAAAGAAAAAGAAGAAAGAAAAAAAGAGAGAAAAAAAAAACGAAGAAGACGTATCGACAGTCTCATTGTTACATTACTCATCAAAGTTCATCGATTCTACAATATTATTATTCTTATTAATTTTATTATTATTGTTAATTTTATTAATATCATTATCATTACTGTAAGTTTAATTTGAGCAAGACTCCTGGCCGAATGAATAGAGCGAGAAACGAATGAACATAAAACTATCGAGCCTCCTTGGCTGGCGTTGGCTCATCTGCTCTCTACTCGCGATTAATTGATTATTACCAAAGCATTTCCAACCAATTCCACCCTGCCCGCTCAATTCTTATCCAGCAGCGAAATATCATCGACATTTAATAATTTTAAAATACGACGATTGAAACGTGTGACCTATTTCACACATTTAACGCTAAACGTCCGTCGAGGCGTTGTGCCCCACTCCGCCCGTCTCAGCACTCGAGCACTAAGAGCAAAGAGGCTTGATCGCAAGTCTCCTTCCACTAATTCGAATTGGGCACATTTTTGGTGGGCGTGAGCATAGTACTCCGTCTGCCGGCCATGCACGTCTCATCCGCGTAAATGTCTACGCAGTAGACTCGCTGACCCTCGTGTTTGTTGCGCACATGATTGTAGATGCTGGAGGTCCATTTGGTCCTGTAGGTACAGTAGGGACAGGCGAAGCGAGGCTCCTGGCCGCATTCGTATCTCAGGTGACGTGTCAGCGATCCCTTCTCGGAGAATCCCGTTGGGCAGTTGGGACAGGGGAAGTTCTTCTCTTTAGCCGAGGCCGGCATGCGCGGGTCCGTTCGTCTTGACTCCGCAGGATGGAAGCTGAGCGGCAGTTTCGTCAGGGACTTTAGCCAATCTGTAAGCAGAGGCAAAGCAGTCGGTTAGATAAGGATTAACGCTCGGAGGCCTCGACAACTAAAAATTCTCGTTTTGGAGAAGAGGATCATCCTCCGACGATCGTTGGGCCCAACGTGAGTGCATTGTTATTGGTCGTTGAGAAAGATCGTGATAGTGGAACGGCTGATAGGGCCGAGGTGCGAATGCGAACATTTTGGGAATCATTATCAACTTAATGCTGTTTTCGCTTGTACTAATTACCTGCCATTTGTCCTCTTGTTAATTATTAATTATTTAACGCTATTACCGGCAATCGGCCTAACAAAATGGGCAATTATTATAATAAAGGTATTCCCAGCCACGGTTATCGGATATCAATATCACGAATATTGTCATATAATTCTAATATACATTTTATGAAAAAGTGTCGGATTAAATAATATCGTAAATGTGATCCCAAACGCGTAAGAAATCTCTATATTTATTAGTATTAGATTATTTTATTAATTGCAAAAATTGATAGCATTCGAAAATATATCACTCGTAAGCCATTGTATTATTTTAAAGCATAGAGTCATTATATAATGAAATAAATTGTTTATTATTAGAACAAACATTTTTTTTTTTTTTTTTTCAATAATTTAGATGGCATTCTATGACGACATATAGTCATTGATTTAATAAATTGTTAAACCAATAATATTGAATATTGATATTTTAGATTTGATTATTTATATTAATGACGAATTTCAACCCGCTGATTTGCCCGAATTTTATAAACTTTACTTTAAAAAAAAAAAAAAAAATAAAAAACAGTACAAACGAAAGAAATAAAAATTTAATGAAATATGCTTGGATTATATAACACCTTTCTATATTGATAATTGTGTACTTTATCTTCTTCTTTTTATTTTTTTAAATGAAATAATTATGATCGAATAAAGAATAATGTTATAGCGATAGATTGAAAAACTATCTTTATCTTTACAGATTCGCAGATGAAAATTTTAAACATTAACAAATCTATATAATAATCATAACACGACTTACACGTTGATTTGATTAATTTTCTATATTAAGCTTATAATTATATTTATATTATTTACATTATTAAAAAATATGTTGTTATTGAATTTAACATTTATAGGTTGAGTATGACGTCTTTGTTTGATTTTATCTATATGAAAATTCAATCAGACATCTTTTCTTTATTCATAATGTTGTTTGTATTGTTCATTAAGTTCGCGACACGCGCGGTTAAACGTTTCTGTTTCATTACAGTAATGAATGTATATTGATTACTCACTTCCGGTCAGCATATTTAAATCGTGGATCCTAAAAGTACTTTAATTTGTCACGTTGATCTTGAGGTCGATGATGATTAAAAGTTTTTGAAGTACTTAAAATCTATCGGAAACATTGGCTTTATTTTATCTAAATTTTACTTTTTAATAATTATAATTGTGCGTTATTTTCATTTGACTCTTGATTTTTTTTATAGGCGACTACAAATTATTATGCTTCGAAGTAATCGCATTTAAATAATTATTCTTGAAAAAATTCGGATATTTTCCTCATTGTCACTGTCTCGAGGCTTCGCCATCTGGTTGCTCATGATTTCCTTAAAATTAAAATAAAAAAAAAAAACGGAGATTAATTCTACAAGTAATGGATACAGTTTCATCAACTTCTGAAATATCGATAGAAAGTCGATAGGATAGAATCGATAGGAAAACCTGTGAACAAAATATTAAATTCGTTAATTTTTAAGATTGTCATGATATATTATGAACAAAATAGAAATTGGTGGATTAAAGTAAAATTTTATTATAAATATTGTTGAATCATTAATAATTATTAAATAGATTTCGTTATAAGGAGATAGTTGGAGTATGTATTCACCAAATTATTTACTAAACGCAACTCATACAAAATAAAAAAAAAAAAAAAACAAATAAAAATAAAAATATCATGGATCCATTATTAAAATTATAGATGATATAAAAAATTGCTTATATTTTTAATACGATGCTTTATGCAATATGTATTTTTAAACAAAATCCATTTAATTATACAGTTAAAAGTATAGAATTTTTAATAAGAATATGGAATTATTTGCAAAATATATTTATTCGAACAGTAATTATACAAAATCATGAGTTCGTAGCTCTTTATAGATGGGCAGACAGGTACATATATTGATACAACCGCAACCACTTTATATTTGAATGTATTTTTGTTTAAAAAATGATGAAAAATAAATAAACAGAAGCGCAATAGAGGTGGCAAAATATTCATTTTACGTGGATAATAACATGTTTGTCAATAAATAATATTGTAAAAATTGGTGCAAAGTAAATGATGCTACGTGATAATAGCAAAGAATAAAGTACAATTTTTATTTCAAATTCAAAATCTCTTCTACAAATTTCAGTTAATCTTAATTGAAATGCAATGCTATGTTCTTCAATACTTTGTAGATTTTTTCAATCATGAATTTTCGCGTTTTATATATATATATATATATATATATATATATATATATATATATATTTGTTTATAACAAGATAAATTTTTTCATTTACAGATTTAATTAAATGTGCACTTTATATAATTATAACTGTGATGATAATTTTACATCATTGTTTTATTTAACTTTGTTATGTACAAATATTTCATATACCTAATTCCTTTTTTATAAATATTGATTCATTGAATAATTCTTTGTTTAGGAAGTTAATATTTACAGTTTAAAATGACAAATTTAAGCAAGGAATAAAATTACTATATTTAATATATTTCCTTATATTCCTCCGAATAATTCTCACTTTATTAAGAAATAACATATTGAATTATTAAACATATTAAATAAGAATATTAAATTAAGAATAGATTTATTATTGAAATTTTTTTTTAATTTCTACAAGGCTTTGAATATTCAACTATATATACTATATTTTTTTTCTTTAAATAAAAATGTAATATTGAATAATATAAACTTATTATGTCATTAATTATGACTATTTAAAAACTTTTCACATTTTGCCAGCCACGGCTTTTAAGAAAATATTGTAATTTAAACATTAGCACGAACGTCTCGTAATTAATATAATTATATTGAAAGAACATCTTCTTCGACGATGTTTCGATGATATTTATTTCTAAATAAAGGTATACTGATATTATTTTCTCGCTTTGCGTGTATTAGGGCGCAATATGCGTGGCATGATTATCCGTTTATTTAATTGGTCGGTCAGAACGTAAACTGGCGATGGCTGAGTTATCGGGAAGCCCATTGGTTTCGGTAAAATAAAAATCGGCTTTTGGCAACTTTGCGTCGTTTGCGGCGTGGCGGTAAACGCCAATGGATCCGCATTATGACAATTGCGAGACTGTGGCACGGTAAATGACGTATCCGTAAGGTCAATGAACTCTGGTGGCACGACGATGTCTAATTTTTGATGGAACTGTGTTTTCTGCTGCAATTTTGGCTTCTTTCGCTTATGCTGCACATCATGACTCGGCAGATTAGGTTGATCGTCTTTCGATCCTTCACTTACACAAACATCTGGTATTTTCGAGGGTAGGACGATGCAGTATTCACTACCTAAAATAAGAAGATAAGAATAAAAAATTAATGTATTGTTTAGAAATAACGTCGGTTTGTCTTGTGGCCCGTTAGAATTCAATATAAAAGTATAATATAGTTCGATAAACCGATTTCATTAGTATTAGTGTAGCAAGCAAACAATCTTCTTTCAATGATTCGCTAGAACTATGATGAACGAATTGGGGATGTAAATATATATATATATAGTTTATGCGGAGATCAATCATTACATGAAAATAAACCAATACATGTACAAATACATCCTGTTATTATATAAATTTTGTAATTACTTATTTCGATATATATTTCGATAAGGTCAATAAATTTAAATTCACTATATATAAAATATATTTAAACTTATTAACATTAGTTCGGTATCGAGTTAAACAAAAAATTACGCCATTAACTTAGAATTATAATAAATTACAAACAATCATCGTGATTTATATAATATTTGGAACAAAGTAATAACCAAAATATTGAGTAATTGAATGAAATATCTCAATATGATAAATAATTTATCTTTGATTTATATTTTTATATTATTCTATGAATACAATATAATAGTCGTAAATTATAATGCAATATTCATTTTAATAAATAATAGATGAGTGAGTATAGTATAATATGAGCAATAATTAAAAAAAAAAAAATTGCATTGATATAATACAAAATTTGAAATTGCTTCCAATATGATTGATAGACAATTGTCCCAGTACGATTACATGATACATGTTTTATATAAAAACAAAACAAAAAAACAAAAAAAAAAAAAAAAAAAAAAAAAAAAAAACAAAAAAAAACAACTCTTTACAATTCTATTCCAGCCATTTTTTTGGATAAACTAACAAAGTATTTGTTTCATAAAATCAATCGTTCGAATAATGAGTGTATACATCGAGTTGCCTTGTAATTTTAAAAATTATATAGCCACCAAGAATTTTATGACATTTTTAACTAAGGAAAAATAATAATGATACTGAAAGGTTACATAAAAAAATTATTTCTATATACTTTATTTTCACCTTCCTTTACTATTATTTACAATGTAAAAAAATATTTTGAGAACATATAATATAATAGTACGTTATATATTTTGTTATTAGCTTGAAAATATTATAAGTAATCGTAATATAATGAAAATAACATAGCTTAAAAGCTCCTTATACTTAATTTAACATCGGATTAAAAATATCTTTTTCTTAAATATTACTTTTCATTTTTTATTTTTTTTTTTTTATTAAAAGCGTAATGTCAACATTATCTTACAATTATGTACAGTGCACCGATAAAAACTAAAATTTATGTAAAATGTTGTTAAAAGTACTTTATATCTAATTTTAAAATATAAAGTATTTGCATGTTTTATCTAAGCCTATTAATTATATTTAATATCTTAATATAAGAATTGACGTGATTTCGTGATTTTTGGATACAACACATTGTATTTCACATTTGTAAAATGAAAATATCTAATGATACCTGATGTTCACATAAAACCAATTTGGAAACGATTTTTTCTATCAACAATTATTCTAAAGCTACTACAGTTTCGTTCAAGTACAATAAAAAGTCCGTGGTAGTTAATAATATAATATTGCTAAATTAATACAGGCTTTTGTAATTGCTAATTTGTATTATTTACTGTTAGTCGAACATATGAAATTTCAAAAAATATAATTTAATCGATATAAAAGTATAATATAATCGATCAAAATTTCGATCCTATGGATACATAAACTGTACTTGTTCGTTACGTTTTTGCATAATGAAATTTCAAATGCTCTAACGAAATTCCAATTGTTATTATTAATTTTTTTTCTTTTTTTCATTTTTCTCTTGTGTTCTATCTTAAAAAACGTAAATATATGTACTTTAAACTTAATATAATTTTTAATTAGCAGATTTTTATTTTTCTTTCTTTTTTTTTAATTAATAATTTGTAATGAGCATGTAGATGTATGACGCATCAAGAATTTTTTTTTTAGAATAGAGAAAATGTATCCCTTCAAAAGCTGATGGATTAATTTATTTTGCTTATGTGCTAATAATGGAACATTTTGTTTTTTTAAACTTTAAATCTAAAATAGTGCGAAAAAATTGCTAATCAACATAGTATATTTTACAAACAATAAGTAGAATATTTAACGAAAACAAAAATTTTACACCATTTTTATAAAAAACGTAATTAATAACATTATCCTATTTTCGATTATTTAAACGTATGAAAGACTGTAATTCTTATTATTAATTCTCAATTCTATCGACTAATTGACAATTATAATATGTAGATTAACATTAAAAATCTTCTTGTTATAAGCATTGTTGAATTTCACATCTATCAATAAATATTAAAAATAAGAAATAAACAAATTCGTTTTATTATTTAATTGGTAACTATATATAATTAAATTATATTAGATTTATCTGAGAGCAAATAGAAAATAAGAAATTATAGAATTTCAGAAACATTGGAAATTACAATGCAATGCACAAGCATATGTAATATTATTAAATGACTATGGGAAACTTCTACTATTAAAATACTAATCGTGATTGGCATCATTTGTATCTGATATTTACGCATAATAAGTACGATAAAAATTATAAACAAACTTTTTTATAATGAAACAATTTTTAATTTTTTCAGGAATGATAAGACCGTAGGGAACGGAATAGATTTTACATTGAATATATCGTTTCTATAAAAATTTCATTATTAATTTACTTCTATCTAATACTGCATTAAATTTACCGTTAATCTACAAAAATAGTATTTATACGTTATTCTCAAAATTAGAAACTTTATAGAAAAATTATTTATTGAATTTCTATTTTTATAAAATCGTGAATATATCTTATTGTTGCAACCTTATTATTGTTATTTTAGATACTTCGGTTAGTTTTACATGAAATGTAAATTATATACGTAGATTAATTCAATTACCTCTTCGTACACACAAAGTATATACAATCAATTCTTTCATTAATATTTAAAAGTTTAAATTAATATTTAAACCGCTTAATATGTTTCATCATTATTTAGATAAAAGCTATTATTATATCGTGTTATAAGTGTTAAATTCGTATTTATTACGATTGAAATTCTAACATGGCTGTTAGAAGATCCATATTTGATAAAGTAAAGCATTACTATTACACTCGGTACGTATTTATTTTTTATTTGGCGAACAAATGTTAATTTTTACAAATTTTTACTAATTTATTATATGTTGCATTTATTCAACCATTTTTTTAAAAATCAACAACGAAATAATTCCTTGAATTATTATTTTAAAAAATATGAATTTTAAAAATATGAGATTGTTGATGTGCATTCTTGAAATGTTTCTCGAAACGTAATAAAATGTTTATTATTACGTTTTGAAATTGAAGATATTTGACGTTTATATCGGATAATCTATGCACTAAATTGATAAGAATACAATGAAAAATAATTTTAACATAAATAATGACTCGAAGATATTTTGATATTTACTATATGAATTTAAAACGATTTGGACATGTTTTTAAGCTCTAACGAAACATTTCTATAATCTTATATTAAGAATTAAGTAACGTTTATTTAAAAAAAAAAAAGAACAAATATGTATGTTACGAATAATTTAAATATAACTAATAAGATTTATCATTATTATTTTTCTTTAAAAAAGATATCAATTTGTTTTATAAAAACAAAAAAAAACAAAAAAACTATAACGAAATTATGAATAATCCTTTGCTTATACTTAAGCGCAACAAACGAAGAGTATATTTGATTAAAAAAAAAAAAAAAACTCTTCTATATTAACGAAATATTCAATAATTTTTAAAAATTGAACGGATGAAATATTCGGAATATCTAGATAATTATGTGTGAATTACTTATTTAACTATTTTTCAATATGTCCGACAACCTATTTATTCTTTTGTATTATGCAACATAACGATATAACGCGTTGAAAAAAATATATTTTTTATGAGATTTTTATAAAATGATTGTATAGTAAATACGAAACAGAAATAAAAAAAAAAAAATAAAAAAAATAAAAATAACGCGCGCTCGAACACGCACACTAAAATATTTGTACATGATATAATGATGATAATGTTAATACCGTTCATATATATATATATATATATATATATATATATATATATATATATATATATATATATATATATATATATAACTAAGTACAGTTGAGCAAAGTCTTTATTAAATATGGACGCTTAATTTGTTAATAATACAGCCAGGAATAAACATAAGAGAATATGGAGAAGAATCAAAGGGGATTCTATGCTCGTTGTACTTATTAACCATCTTTTATTATATTTATTAACTTTCCCGAATAATAGTACTTATAACTTATAAATTATAAGAATTGTATTATCTAGTGGGTGAGAAAGCCCTAGAGAATAAATCATCGAACCGAATGCCATAACAGGCTTAATTAATGCCTATTTCCGACGGTTCTTTTGTCTTCAAATATTTTCAAAAATATCCGATTTCAGCACATAGATAATCATAAAGTTGCACATCCATGGACTTGGCCCATATTCAGAGCAAATTCTTATGCAGAAGGACGTCAATGACGTAAACCTGCTGACTAGGATGAAGTCTTCTCACATGCGTCCTGACGTTGGGCGAGTGCTTGGTCCTGTACTCGCAGTAGGGGCAGTTGAAACGTGGCTGTTGGCCGCACTGGAACTTTAGGTGGTTGTGCAAATTATTTTTACGCGTGAAACTCGTATTGCATCGGGGACACTGGAAGCGGCCGTCGCTTTGGGCATGTACGTCCTTGGGATGGGAGGGCAATTGTTGAGGCGCCGTCCCTGGAACATAATCAACGCGGATTTTCATTAGTGTTGGTGGCTTGGTCGTCTATGTATATTGAGCGACGGGGGGCGGGAGGATGATGTCACGTTGAGAGAATAGTCTCATTGGCATTGATAGATTCGTGTCTTTACTACGTTGTTGAAACACAATGATACAGACCTCTAATGCCATTTTCTTAGACTGATACTAATTATTCTTACATGTAATGACGTTTCTCTCTATTTTTTTTTTTTTTTTTTTTTTTTTTTTTTTTTTGATATATGGAAAAGATAAGATAAATTACAAGCGTGGAAATGGTACTGATGATGATAAATTAAGTTATCGTTTGTGTGTAGTCGCAGAGTTAATTCGACTTAATATGATTATTTAGTTATTTTCAACTTAATGTAACATATACAAATATTATTCATTATTAATCTTTGGAATTTTGGAATTTAATTTAATTGCAGAAATTTAAGTCCTGGATGGGCCGAGCAAGCACTTGTTCTAACTTTCTTCATTAAGCCAAGAATATACAATGTTAAACATCCATCTTCCATTGTAATTGAATATCTGCCGATGGACAGGCAGTACACGTACAAATAAACAATGGTCTTCTATCGTCGTAATCGTTGAATTCCTTGTGTGCGTCGCCTTATTATGCGTGCAATGCATTTCTCTGGCAGCTCGTACTCCTTAATAGCTCTAACTGTTTCAACTTTTTATCGACTTTGGAGAAGACATTATCATGCAACTTAACGAGTCACTCATTATCCATGAGCGGTGTAACGCCGATGAAACGACACTGCACTATAAATATTAGATTGGTTCGTTACCTTCGGATTTCCAAACATTAAATCCAGAATCTCGTATCGATCATTATTCTATGTTTAATACCGTGTTTAATGCAAATGTGACGATTAAACATTAATTGTGGCGAGTAGCGTAATGAGCAGCGAATTACAATAAAATATTGGGAAGATAAAAATGTTTAAGCCACCAATTCTTATTTTAATATTCAGTGAAAATTACAAAAATATCTTATTTTTATAACTTAATATATACTCGCCTATTACTATTATCATTATAATAACATATATTCAGAGTGCTTAGTTTGCATATTGAGTATATGTGTGTAAATTGCATATCTACTTCTTCCCATTTGCGATAAATCTGATTATATACTGAAACTTTCTCAATTTTGTCTTTTAAATTAAAATTTCATATTAAATTTGCATCACTGCATTGCCGTTAACATATTTTTAAATCATGACAAATTATGAAACACACTGAGAAAATATGTTCTTAATGTATGTACTCGTATATATTTTCATTTACATTTGCGGCATAATCACTGAAATATTTTGTTTTTCTATACTTAACAAAGTTTCCTTGTTTTATATTAATAATAATAATAATAATAATAATAATAATAATAATAATAATAATAATAATAATAATAATAATAATTGTAATAATTGATGAAAACGCGTCGTAAAATACTTGATGGGTGAATTATAGTAAAATGGTCGTAATATAATCTTCTTTAACAATAATAAACAAAAACAGCTGCTCAATTATGTTATTTTATTTAGTTAAAATAGATAGAGCTATTAATAATTGTTTTAATATGTGAAATATAATGAATAAAGTCAGTATCAATGTCATTATAGAATAAAATCAGTCGCTTGGATGAAAAACGATCGATAAATTATAATATAATTTATTTAAAAACATAAGGTTATTGATATACAAAATTCGGTATTCATAGTAGCAGTTTTAAAAAAATTTTAAATTCAATAAAATGTACGTAATATTTATTAAAATACCGTTTATCAGTACAGAAATTAAAATTCGTCATTAAAGTATATTACATTAGGGACATAATTTTATAATACTTTATTTATTTATTTATTTATTAAAAATTCCATTTCTTATATACAAAATGATAATTTATATTCAAGTACAAAAATTTTAATTTACTTAATCATTACATTCAGTACATTAAGCAATCTATTTATTGATTATATATTTATATATAAATATATATACATATATATATATATATATATATATATATATATATATATATATAAGGTAAATGGATTACATTTCAACAAGTCAGACTAGAATTGATTTTGGCACATCCGTGAGGCATAATTTAAAGCTGATTATATTTTACATTTCGTTGAGAGCAATTTCTTTCATTGATAATCATTAATGTACTTTTACCATTATTGTATAAAAATTTAAGATTCATTGATAAAGAAATACTCGTTTCGTTAAATTTAAAACAAAGAAAATTATTTCCATCTATTTGAAAAAAATTCTTTATTCATAAAACATTTATATTTCGTATGCTTATAATGTTTCGTATGTTTATTTATATAAATACTTTAATTTTGTTTTTTTTTTTCGTACTACTTCGGTTTTTTATTAGTTACTAAACTAAAAATGATTTCTTTTAAATTTAAATTAACTTCACCAAATAATTGTATAAATATTTCATTCAAATTTTAGCAGATTCGCAAGAATGTATGAGCACGTAAACACATGCATACCCGCGTGTATAAAACTTTCCACTAAAACATGGAAAATTATTGAGAGATAGATTAATCGAGAAAAATTATTTGTACAAATATGAAGTTTCGTATTTATTGATCAAGGACAGTTATGAGCTTTTAATTTAAAGCGAGATAAAAATTCTGGATAGCTTTATGTGTTTGATCGAAATAAATATTATCAAATACGAATTCTTAAGGGGAATCGACGATTCTGTTAAAAGAAATGCAGACCAATACTTTCTTATCGATACACACGCAACCTGACAGATCAACCATAAATCATCCCAATTGAAGCGAGTGTGTGCCAATAAATGGCCAATGACGACTCGGATAAAGTGTCTCTTTTGCAACAAAAAACATCGGCCGTGATAATGACGTATGACTTGATTGATACCCTGATGCATGCGGATAGCCCCAGTAGCGAGTTATTGTCCAGGAAGTTTGGATAACGAAGAGCAGTGGCGAACGTCCTTGGCCTTGGGAGCGCCGAGCTTCGGAGATGCTTTTGGTCGGTGGAGCGGGGCTGGACTCCTTCAGTTGAGGGGATCGAAGTCGAGGATGAGAGCTGTGCTCGGGCCGTGCAGGTGGGTCTTCTCGTGGTCGCGCAGATGGTGCCGGTGCTTGAAGCGCTTCTCGCAGTTGGAGCAGCGGAACCGCGGCCCGACACCGCACTCGAGCCTCAGGTGACGCAGGAGATTGCACTTGTGGGAGTAATGACGACCGCATCTCTGGCAGCCGTAAGGTGGCCCATCGCTCGAGAGAACGCTCGGCGCCATACGTCCTGGCCAACCTGAAACAGACCAAGGGTCGCCAAGATGTAGTTGCGCTCCGAGGTGCGAGTGCGTTTTAACGAGTCGCCCTCGGCCAAAACTTACCCTTCCAGTCCGCCTTTCGTGCTTGTATTGGGCGAGAGTTTTCATTCGTCAAGTGATGATGGCTAATAGGATTGGGCTTTTAATAATGCTAGTGGTATTGGTGGTAGGGATGCTGGGATTTTAGTGAATTAGGATACGAAGATTTTCATGGTGGGCGATGGGCCGAGGGTGCCTCGAAGCGACAAGGAGATGTATATCGTATCACGGCAGAAAAATTTTATTGTAACTCAGAGTTTAAGAAATCGCGAGCATTGATAAAAATTGTTATACTTACGTATTGTCCAATGATAAATTTATCGTGATTAGTGGGCGAAGGAAGGAGAGGACTGTACCATGTTTATAGATTTGTACTCTTTTTACCTGCTCGAATTGGAATTTTTTTTTTCTTTTTGCAGCATTTGATTTTTAATGTAATTTCAGTGTTGCGTAATATTTTTTTTTTTCTTTTTTTTTTTTTTTGTAATATAAGGTATTTTATTGAAAGAATTTTTACAAAGTAAATAACCTTACGCGATAATGCTTTTAATCATTAAGATATCTAAGCTAATTCATATAATTGCTGGAAATTAATTGAGTAATTAATTAATTCTAATTACAATTACGGCATTTTAATGTAATACGCAATACAATGTAAATGTATAAATTATCAAGTAATTAACGTGTAATTTTATAGAAAACAACAAATGGCAAATTTCAGTCTCTATTTTACTAGTAATCTTGACTAGTTTCTTACTCATTTCCTTACAAAATCCTAGATTTACAACGCATTTGTTTGCCAATGATTACTCGTAATGGTAACATTTTAAATGGTAATATTTAGGTTTCATCGATTTTCGTCGATAATAGAAATTCGTATAAAAATTATATATTATGAAAAAGTTATTTGAGCAATAACAATTTATATATCATCATCATTTAACCAATATACATACGTATATATATATATGTATATATATATATATATATATATATATATATATATATATATATATATATATATATGTATACATATGTAGGTGCAACACCTACGTACGTACGTGTATACATGTGTACACGCATAAGCGAATGCGTACGTAGAGAATTAAATGCTCGCGTGCGCGTACGTACGTAAATGCATTAGTGCGCGCGCGCTCATATCGCTGATTGTCTCATACTTGTACATTTGATATGTACGACAAATTTAAAGGTTTACTTCCTTTTTTAAAAGTTTAATATTTATAACAATTTATAACAGTTATGTACACATTTTACTTGTTAGTAAATAAATGCTCTCGTGACTTAATAGACAGCAAGATTATACTTGCTTGATTTAATCTTTCCATTAAAATCTATGCCAATTTGCAAACTTACATTTTACATTTGCAATTATGCTATGAAAATTATCGTTGTTACTTACGCTTAACCGTAAAGGATTCATTCAAAGTACTTCAATTGCGTAATTAATATAGAATATTAAGCTTTCTTATTATTACAATGTTTACTCTACTGCGGTCAGAAGAATAATGCGCATCTTCCTTACTAATTCAATAGTACTCGGTAATAAATTTTCCGATCTAATAATAATTAATTATTAGGATGCGCAATGTAAGTACACTTGTAAAATTCGTATCAACGATAATGGATTAAAAATAATAGTTTGTCTGATAATGAAGGAAGCGAGATATCATGTACCCGCGAGAGGACGAACGAGAGCTTAAGAGGAGCTCCGCCGCTATCAGACTGACCGAATCTACTTTGATAACCCCAGGACTAACCCTCTCACGAAACCCTCTTAAGGACTCCTATGGGGAATCTCAATTCACCAATAGGGAATGTGGCAGTAAAATATACAATAACTCAGCCGAATAAATATTCAAACCCGACTGAATGTTGATAAATATAGAAGGCGTCGCGAAAGGTTCTCGTAAGGACGATGAGAAATAATTGGGATTATGACTTCTGGTGGGTCCTCATGTGCAATACGAGGTTGTGCTTGTGCTTGGACCTCTTGTGGCAGACGGGACACTCGAATTGCGGCTCGACCCCGCACTCGAACCTTATGTGACGGTTGAGCGAGTGCGGGCGGCTGTAGGCGTTGCCACATCGGGGACAGAAGTAACCCGGACTATCGCTCGTGGACGCCAGCCTTCGTGGCCTGTTTCTCTCCTCCTGCGGACGCTCCTGATCGTCGCTGGGCTGAGCCGCGGACGAGCCGATCTCCTTCTCGGCCAGGAGTCGCAGATAGAGCGACTGATACTGATAATAGCGATCGATCACGGTAGAACCGCGCGCACTTGACTCTAGAACATAAGACAGAGGGAGACATGTCGTAAGGGCTGGAGCTTTCTACCTTTGGTACCTTTTGCCGAACGAGGATAACTGGTTGATTGTCTCGGTTATAATTGGTTTATACACATAATCGAGAGCTCGTCGCGAGACTAGGCAGTTCTGTTTTAGCGACTTGTTTTTTTTTTTTTTTTTTTTTTTTTTTGTTGGCCTTGTTAACTTTTTATACTATACCATACTTCAGACAGACAGATAGACAGACAGACAGACATAGAGAAGAGAGATAGATATATCCGAGGATGTATTTAAACTACCCTACGGATTATTATTCCGCGTACTTTATCGGCTATTTTCGTTCCGATTGGCCTTTCACCATCTAATGCTAATTGCTCTTTATTATTTTCTTTATCTTAGCAATGTTAACATTGAATTGCCAGCATAAATACGAAATAAAAAGTCGGTAAAACAGCACTTACATGTTTCCCATATTTTTTGAGCAAAAGAGAAAAATTGTTGACTGTTGAATTTACAAATTAAAAGCAAATTTTATGCTCGAGTAAATATATAACGACAAGGTTTTGCAATTATGCTTTATTATATTATAAAAAACATTTTGCAAACAAATATTAACATGTCGAAAGCAATATATGTAGCGACATTATTTCTTACACAAAAGAAGGCTGCTTTAGACAAGTTTGATTATAAGTAAGCTCATTTATATATTGCCAAGAGCAAAGTAATAACAAAAAAATCTTCACTGGTCGCAATTGATTCTAAATTATCTCAAAAAATATTTGGAGCTTGAGTCAGCACATAAAATGACGAGGTACGGACGAACACAAACAAGCTTCTTGACACACGTTTACCAGTCACCAAAAAGCCACCACGAGCCCAGGTCTTATCACTTTCTTATCGCTTTACACAATTCATTTCATACATTTTATTTAATTATTCTCTATTGCATTGTTATAACACGTACATTGCCTTTACATACGTATACTGTAATTATTACATTTATAATAATTTATGCAAATCGATTGTGAATTGTGATACGGTTGTTTTTAAACATAAAATATCTTGTATAATTCACTACACTTACGATAAACATGACATGTACAAGCTAAAGTAGAATGAAAAATGAAAATGAATTACCCACGATTACAATTCTTCGGTTACATTCTCACTTATTCTTAACGACTTCTCATATTACCCTGGATTACAAATAATATGTATGTAAATAACTGAAAATTATATGTGACAAGGTACGTCTAGGGTTCAAACTGCCTAAACGCAAGCATCTTTATTTATTAATAAATACAATATTTTCAGCTGTTAAGGAATATTAATTTCTTACAATGTGCCTCGTTACAACAACCAATTAACATTCTGAAAAGAAAAAAGTACTTAATAAATAGGAGAATAAAAATATGTTTACTCAAAGATTTAAGAAATATTTTTGCGGTCATTCTTAAGACAATCTTTTCTTCCTAGAACACTACTCTTCGTAGTCAATAATTTTATTCATCATTAAAGAATAAAGAAACATACAGACTTACATACACACGCGCGCGCGCGCGCACGCACACACACACACACACACACACACACACACACACACACATACATATATATATATATATATATATATATATATATTAACAATTTGCTTTATAAATACTGCTCTTGAAATTATTGTATCTCAAGTTTAGACCAAATGCAGCAATATATATAACTTTTTTCATCAATTCTCATCCGAAATCCAGGCACTTTATTACTCTCTCTCTAATCAATCAAAATTTTTTACCATATTTGCCCTCATATATATATATATATATATTGGAGGATATAAATGTTGCTTGGAGCATGAGCATAATTTCTAATTTCTAGCTGTCCATGTCAAGTGCATTCACAATATTAACGTGTCTGAAAGAAAAATGTCAAAATATCAGAAAAAAAACAATCGATAAAGTAAAGTAAAAATGACAGAGAGAGAGAGAGATAGAGAGAGAGAGAGAGAGAGAGAGAGAAAGAGAAAGAGAAAGAAAGAGTAATTAATTTGGAGGTTTGGAATGTTTAATAAAGAAAAATATAACGACAGCGTCGTTTGAACAGTCTATGTTTATTAATTTAAAACAAAAGTTTTTCACTCTATATTTTAAACATTTATTTATAATATACAAAGTAAAATAAAAGTTTCCTTTGAATATAAAAAATAATAATAGCAATTTTTATTATCTTTAAAATTTTTTAAAATAGACAAATAGTACCTATATTTTTGTCATTCGAAATTACTTTTTCATTAAAGTTTTTCAGATATAACATGTTCAGTTATTGCGATAAAGAAGGTTAATCGATGGTTTCATTTTTATTTATTTAGTTGCTCAGAAACGTATAAACTATTCATCTTCATTTATCGTATCATAATATCAGCAAGTACAGTTACATGTATTATACGCTTATTAAAGTAACGTTGGTATTATTAACATTATAAATAATTTTCTTAAAATGTGTAGGTTATATTTTTACATTATAAATTTTACTACTAAAATTAAAGAAAATAAATTCTATATGTAACTTCTAATCAATTAAGCTGAAACTAATGTCTCTGTTTTATTTGTTAATAAAACTGCTCATTTCTTTCATATAAAATATACATAATTTTATAATTGTTGAATTTAATTAAAAATACACTTAATTAGAATTACTTATTTAATTATAAATATATTTACGTGTATAATTAACTATAACTATATATTTATTTATAAGTTTATAGTGTTTTTCTATAATGGTTTGTACAAAAAAAAAAAAAAAAAAAAAAAAAAAAAAAAAACATGTAAATCAGTCCCTCAATGAAATGAGTTCTTAAGAATAATGTTGAAGTAAAAAAATTCAAACATTTTTCA